CGGCCCGTGCCCCAGAGACCCCCCCAGCTTGGAGGGAGTGTGGAGTGTTATGATTATGGCCGTAACTCGTCGCTGATTTCTGCCCCGGGTGGCAGTCCTTGCGGGGACGCGGGGACAGCGGGCAGTTCTCGTCCCTGAATCGCGGCCAGCCCCAGCTGGGGGGATTCGGGCTTGTCCTGGAGGGACGTGCCTGAGCCTCTGACCCGGATTTGCTGGAAACAGCCCTGCAGTGCTGACTCTGAGACCTCGGTGACCCTTTGCTTGCAGGGAGCACCGCCTCACGGCTACAATTTAATTTATTATTATTATTATTATTCCATCTTTTCTCATTTCCCTCCTACGGCTGGGCTGGAAATCCCCTGGGAGCAGACGCTGGCACGGCCCATTCCGGAGGAACACGGGAGCTTCAGGCAGAGGAACCAAAACCAAAAACCCCCTTTGTGCTTTCGGGGCCGCAGAGGAGCCCGTCCCTCCACCAGCACAGCCATTGCCTTGGGGTGCTGCTGGGAGGAGCCCCCCTGACCCCCCAAAATGCTGGTGGGGCCTCTGAGACACCCCACGAGTCTTGGTGGGGCTGAACCCCACAGAAGGGGTTCAGTAAAGGGCGCAGGGATGCCAGGCTTGGATGTCCACCCTTGGATCCACGTGTGCCCCCTCAGGCTGGTGTGATCCCCAAAAATTCCACGTGTGCCCCCTCAGGCTGGTGTGATCCCCAAAAATTCCACGTGTGCCCCCTCAGGTTGGTGTGATCCCCAAAAATTCCACGTGTGCCCCCTCAGGCTGGTGTGTCCCCCAAAAAATCCACGTGTGCACTCCTCGGTTGCTGTGATCCCCAAAAATTCCACCTGTGCCCCCTCAGGCTGGTGTGCCCCCCCCAGGTCCCCCCTCCCGGGGCTGTGTCCCCGCAGGGGTGTCCCAGTGGCTCTGTCTGTCCCCAGCCCGTGGTGGCCGTGTCCCACTCCTGTCCCTCTGCCCGCAGGACCCCAGCCCTGGTGGCCCCTGCCCAAGAAAGGGACACGGACACCGGGGTTCTGTGCTGTGCCCCAAAGTGCACCCAGAGCCCACAGCCGGGGGAGGGGGGAGGATGGGATGGGATCCATGGGATCCACGGGATGGGATGGGATCCATGGGATGGGATCCATGGGATGGGATGGGATCCATGGGATGGAATCCATGGGATCCATGGGATGGGATCCATGGGATGGGTGGGATGGGATCCATGGGATCCATGGGATGGGATCCATGGGATCTACCAGATGGGATGGGATCCATGGGATGGGATGGGATCCATGGCTTAGGATCAATCCGTGGGATGGAATGGATGGGATGGGATCCGTGGGATGGGATCGATCCATGGATGGGAGGGGATCCCTGGGGTGTGACCCATGGGATGGGTGGGATGAAGAGGAGGGCACAGGGGAGGAGAAGGGAGGCTCTGGTGGCCCCTGAGCCTCAGCAATGGCCACGGGAGGAGGAGGAGGGGGAGCAGCAGCCCCCGGAGCCCCGCGGAGCCAGCGGGATGCTGCGGGATCCCTAATATCCCAAATTTCCCTCTCGGCGCCTTTGGAACACGGGCGGGAAAAGGGGCGTGGCCGTGGATAATGGGGCGTGGTCTCAGAAGGCAGCGGGTCAGTGCATGCCCATATATGGAGAAGTGGGCGTGCCACTGGGCGGAGCCAACTCTGCCCCCCCCTGGCCCCCCCCCGCCGACAGCGCCGCCCAGCGGCCGTGAGGGAACGAGCGCGCTTGGGGACCCCCGTGACCCCACAGCCTGTCCCTAAACAGGGACACCCCCCCACATCCCCCCAAGCCCCCTGACCCCTCGTTGGTGGAAAGAGGTGTCACCCCTGCTCTGGAGCAACGCTCTTTATTTGGGGTCTCAGGGTGTGTCCCCCCAGCCATGGGACCCCGGGGTTTGGGTGTCCGTCCCCGGGGGTCCGAGCAGAGCCCCCCACCCCAAACCATTGTGTACCCCCAGACCCACCCTGCACCCCGCCCCAGAGCATCGCCCCAGCCCTGTCCCCCCGCTGGGGCAGTCGGGGCCGTGTCCTGTCCCCGTGTCACACGTGGACGTGTCCAGCTGGGGTGGCCTCAGGTGCTGGCACTCTTGAGGTCACCCAAGGCCACCTCTCCTCCTTCCCCTGCAGCCACGGCCGCGGGCTCCTGGGCTGGGCCCCGCGCTGAGGGGACAGTGAGTGGGGACACGGGACAAGCCCGGCCCCACACGGAGCTGTCCCTATCCCTGTCCCTGTCCCCGTCCTTGTCCCGTCACCACCTGCCCCCTTGTCCTCATCCCTGCCTTGTCTTCGTCCCTGCTGTCATCCCCACCCCATTCCCTCCCCATCCCCATCCCATGGATCCCATCCCGTAGATCCCATCCTATCCCATGGATCCCATCTCATCCAATTGATCCCATGGATCCTGCCCCGCCCTATGAATCCTGTCCCATCCCACCTCATGGATCCCATCCCATTCTGTCCCATCCCATGGATCCCATCTCATCCTATCGATCCCATCCCATGGATCCCATCTCATCCTATCGATCCCATCCCATGGATCCCATCTCATCCTATCGATCCCATCCCATGGATCCCATCTCATCCTATCGATCCCATCCCATGGATCCCATCTCATCCTATCGATCCCATCCCATGGATCCCATCCCATCCCATGGATCCCATCCCATGGATCCCATGGATCCCATCTCATCACATCGATCCCATCCCATCTCATCCCATGGATTCCATCCCATCCCATGGATTCTGTCTCATCCCATCCCATGGATCTCATCCCATTCCATCCCATCCCATGGATCCCATGGATCCCATCTCATGACATCGATCCCATCCCATGGATTCTGTCCCATCCCATCCCATGGATCCCGTCCCATCCCATGGATCCCGTCCCATCCCCACGAGGGAGCTGGCAATCCCCTCCCCACACAGAATCCCATCCCCAGTGGACCAGGGGTTCACCAGCTGCCCCCATCCTACAACTCCCCCTGAGCCTCAGTGCCCCAAACACCCCCTTTGTGCCCCCCAAACACCCCCTTTTGTGCCCCCACACCCCCTTTGTGTCCCCCAAACACCCCCCAGTGCCCCCCCACGCACCTGCGCGCCCCCAGCAGTGGCCCTGGCAGCGGGCACACACCATGACCCCGATGGCCACCGCCGTGAAGGCGGCCGTGAGGACACAAACCACCATGAGCATGTCCGGCTCCGCGGCCTTGGGGACCTCTGCGGGGTGACACCGGCACATGGGGACACCAGCTGGGCCACCCCCCACTCCCTGTGCTGTGCCAGGCCGGGGGAACCCCAAACTGCCCCAGGGGAGCAGCCGGGGACAGACAGACACAGCAGGGACAAGGGACAGACACAGCAGGGACAAGGGACATGGCAGGACATGTGGGGACACAAAACATGGCAGGGGAACAGAGCAGGGACACCTGGCACTGCTCGGGTGGGACAAGGGACACGTCAGGGCATGTGGGGACCCCAAACATGGCAGGGGGACAGGGCAGGGACGCCTGGCATCACTGAGATGGGGACAGAGCTGTAGGAGGTGACAGATGCGTCAGGGAACTGGGGACACCCCCAAATTCTGTCACCATCCAGATGGGGACAGGGATAGAGGAGGTGACAGATGAGTCAGGGAATGAGGGGTCCCCAAATTGGGGTGAAAAGTGTGGGACACCACCCAGATGGGGACAGGGATGGGCCAGGGGACAAGGCAGGTGACAGATACGTAGGGAATGGGGACAACCCTAAATTCTGGCAGCACCCAGATGGGGACAAAACTGGACACAGCAGAAAACTGGGGACACCCCCAAATTCTGGCACCACCCAAATGGGGACAGGGGACAACACAGGTGACAGACACACCAGGAAATGGGGACAACCCTAAATTCTGGCAGCACCCAGATGGGGACAAAACTGGACACAGCAGGGAACCGAGGGACCCCAAAAGGGACAGTGCCACCCCGCCCCGCTCACCTGCCACGGCGGGCTGCAGCACCAGGGAGCAGAGCAGCTGCGGGGCCGCGGCGCGGGCGGCGTAGCAGGAGTAATTCCCGAAATCGGGATCGCTGAGGTTCCTCAGCAGCAGCGACACGCCGCTGTCCCCTGTCCCCGCGGCGCAGAAGGCCACCCTGCCCCTGAAGCGGCTGTCGGGCTGCACGGGCGGGTGCCAGCCCGGCTCGGGGGGCGGCGGGTGCCAGCCCAGGCGGTGGCTGAGGACGGGGACAGCGTGGTGGCCGCCAGCCTGGTGGGTGCAGCTGAGGGTGACCCCGCGCAGGTCACCCCAGGGCTGCGTGCCGCAGGGCAGGCAGGCGTCCTCGCCGATGGCCGCTGTCACCGTGACGGTGACAGGAGGCTGGTCTGGGAGGGGACACAGCGGGGTCACCGCGAGGTGACACCAGGGATGGGGTACAGCGGGGTGGAGGGGTCACCCTGGGACAAGGGGGCTCTGAAGGGGACAGGGGACATCTGTGGGGACACGGCCGGTGGCGCCGGGACCGAGGGCTTGGAGGTGCCAGGACCTGGGGCTCGGTGGTGCCGGCACCGAGGGCTCGGGGATGCCAGGACCGGGTGTTCGGGGGTGCCGGGTCCCGGTGCCAGGTCCGGGTGTTCGGTGGTGCCGGGTCCCGGTGCCAGCACCGAGGGCTCGGTGGTGCCAAGCAGCCGCCCCGTGAGTCACCGCCCTGCCGGGAACGGCTCCCCCGCCCTCCCCTCGGGGTTCCCACCGCGGTCTCCGCGCAGGGGAGGAAAGGGGGGTTGGGAAGGGGGTCCCCGCGGAGAGGGGGGCTCTGCCCGGACCCCCCACCCCGCTGCCCGTGGGTACCTGCCCGGGCGAGGAGGGGGCACAGAGCCAAGAGCGCCACGACGGGGAGCAGCGCCATCCTGCCGGCATCCGCGGCCGGGCAGCTCCTGGGGGCCGCGGGCACCGCAGCCTCAACCGCGGGGCACCCCAAAACCCTGGGGGCACCCCAAACACAGCCCCCCATGGCGAGGGAGGCACCCCGGGGGTCTCCAACCCCCCACACCCGCTGTGAGCAGGGGGGGTTATGGGGCTGGGGGCTGGGCAGGTAGAGGGCAGGGGGCCGGGGTTTTTGGGGCTGGGGGCCGCCCCGCCCGGGCCCCGCCCCGCCAGATGTGCCCCACTCATCCAGATGTGCCCCAGCCCCCTGCCCCCCTGCCCGGCTGGGCCCCTGCCAGCTGTGCCCTTCCAGCTGTGACTCAGTTGTGCCCCTGCCAGCTGTGACCCAGCTGTGCCCCTGCCAGCTGTGCCCTTCCAGCTGTGACTCACCCGGCTGTGCCCCTGCCAGCTGTGACCCAGCTGTGCCCTGCCAGCTGTGCCCTTCCAGCTGTGACTCACCCGGCTGTGCCCCTGCCAGCTGTGACCCAGCTGTGCCCTGCCAGCTGTGCCCCTGCCAAGCCCAGCTGTGTCCCGCCCCACTGTGCCCCATCCAGATGTTTGCCCTGCCCATCCCCGCCCAGAAGACAAATGCAGCAAAAGGTCTGATCCCATTTTTAACAATATATTCCATACAGGATACCCATTCAATTTATTAAGTTTTTAAAGTTTATGTTAAGTTTTCTTAAGTTTCTTAAAGTTTATATTTTGTTGGGTTAAAAGTGTGTGTAGGATTTTATCATATATGCAAATAAATTTATAATGTATAAAGGATATAGAGAAATTACACGTTTTATATTATGGGCTATTTATGTTATGTAGAAAATGGGTCTTAACATGATCTAGTATAATAATAAAGAATAAAATAATATAAATAGGAATAATATATATATTATAATTACTATAGTATAATTAATATAATATAATTTATATTATATTATATTATATTATATTATATTATCAATATAATATAATATGGTGTTAAAATAGAACAAAACACTATTAAATCCATTTCCACTTAGAATAAGGATTGCTGCCTTTATTTCCATAAATATGCACTATTAATGTAATAATATAGTAATATAGCAAAGTATTAAAATATAATTAATGTATTTGCGTATAATAATGTATTAATGTATTGATATATAATCATGTATTAATACACAATTGATGTAACAATATATAAAAATGTTTACATTCTATAATTAACACAAATTATTAAAAATAATATATATTAATATCGTTACATTACAAATAAGCATTATTTTATGTACTAATAACAATTTGTAATAATATTGAGCAGGGCACTGATGGCTTTGTGCTTCCAGAGGCACCTGCGGGCTGCGGCCCTTGGCCTTCGACCACAGCTCCGTGTCTGCCAACTACGACCCCTCCGACGGTGACTACGCAACCTTGGGCTCTTCTGATGTCACCTCCCTCAACGTGGATAGCACCGGTGTCCCCTCAGGGACCTGGCCTGGCATCGTCAGTGTCCAGGCCACCCTGGAGAACGGCACGTGGCACATGTGCTCGGGGGCACTGATCCACCCCCAGTGGGTGCTCACGGTGGCCCAGTGCTTCTTCAGGTCTGGGTAAGGACGAGCAGGGACAGGGATGTGCCCCCAGCAGGGTCAGGGGTGTCCCCACAGGAGGGGCAGAGATGTCCCCACAGGTTCAGCTGCTGGGCTGCCAAATGCCATGCCTCTGCTCCGTGTCACCCCTCTGTCCATCTCCCGCTCCGCAGGGACATCTCCATTTACAAGGTGGTGATGGGGACCGTGGATGTGGCCCAGCCGGGCCCCGAGGCTGCGGTGAGACGCATCCAGAGGCTCCTGAAGCACCAGAACTACGTGGCTGCCACGGCATGGAACAACATCGCGCTGCTGGAGCTGGACCAGCCCGTGGAGTGCAGCGACTACATCCAGCTGGGCTTGGTGCCCCACAACTGACTGATGTCCCTTGTCCATCCCCACGTCCCTGTCCTGTCCCATGTCCCAGGGCTGTCCTGTCCTTTCCCAGTCCCCAGATCCCTCTCCTGTGCCTCCATGCTGCCCTTCCCTTCCCCTTCCACCATTGCATCCCCTCAGGCCTAGCCCAGGCCGGGCCAGCCCCAGTCCCACCTCTGTCACTGCTCCCAGGCCGTCCCCAGCCCCGTGTCCCTGTCCAGGGGCTCCTGTTGCCTTTCCCATCCATGGATCCCTGTCCTGTGTCACTCCCCATCTGTGTGTCCCCATCCCAGTGTCCCCATGTCCCCAAATCCCATCCAGTGTCCCCATAACCCTGGGGCGTGGCTGTGACCCTGGCGCAGCCCCTGACCCCTGTCTCCTGTCGCAGGGGGACATCGGGGGTCCCCTCGTGTGCAAGGACCACGTTGGTGACTACTTCTGGCTGGTGGGACTGGCCAGCTGGGGCAAGGGCTGTGTTGGAGAGAAGCGGCCCGGGGTGTTCGCCTCCACCCAGCACTTCCGTGAATGGATCCAGATCCAGATGGGAAAGGTGGCAGCAGACCCAAGCCTCACACCGACAGAGCCAGCCCCCACCCGAGCCCCAAATCCCATCCTGTCCCCAACCCCGTCCCTGACCCTGACTGTCATCGAGACGTCACCGCAGCAGGAATCAGAGACCTTCATAACGATTTCATTCCCAAAATCCATCCTGCTGGCATTCTTCGCGAGTCTGCAGAAGTTCCTGGAGTTCCTGAAGGACAAATTGAGCTGAGCAGGAGGAGCAGCAGATCCCGTTCTGGCTGCAGAGGATTCCAGCAGCCCCAGCCGGGGCCGTGGCTGCGGGGCCAGCTCAGCCCCGGTGCCCAGGGCTGCTGTGCCCTGCCCACGCTGACCCCGCGCCCGCCCCGAGGGGGAACCCACTTTGTGCTTCAATTAGAGTTGTTCCAGTTCCCACTTAGCCACCGTGTCCAGTGCAGTCTCCGGGGGAAAACAGGGATGGGGTAACTGGGGGGAAAAGGGTGGGGGTGCGCCTGGTGTGGGGGAGATGAGGGGGAGCCGGGGAGGGGAGGATGGGCCTGAGGTGGGGAGAGGGAGAAACTTCTCCAGCCCAGGCTCCCCAGCAGAGCCTCGGCTGTGCCAGTCCCGGGAAAAGCCCTTGAGAGGGACAGCAACGGGGACAGCTGGAGCTGCCATGCCTCACAGCAGGGTCAGGGGTGTCCCCACAGCAGGGACAGGGGTGTCCCCACAGCAGGGTCGGGGGTGTCCCCTCAGCACAGGGAGGTGCCCACAGCAGGAAGGGCCTTGTGCTGCCGCAGCCCCTGGCTCTGTTCCATCAGCTCTTCCTCCATCTCCTGCTCCTCAGGGACACCTCCACATGGAAGGTGGTGGTCGGGGCCACGGATCTGAGCCAGCCGGGCCCCGAGGCCCAGCGGCGCCACATCCGGAGGGTCGTGAAGCACCGGCACTACAACAAAGGCCCGGAGAGGAAAAACATCGCGCTGCTGGAGCTGGACCAGCCCGTGGAGTGCAGCGACTACATCCAGCTGGCCTGTGTGCCCGACAGCTCCCTGGCCGTGACCAAGCTGAAAACCTGCTACATCGCGGGCTGGAGAGCCACCCCGGACAGCGGTCAGTGCCCGCCCGGGCCGAGGGCCAGTTGGGGACCACAGGGACACGGCCGGGCTGGCCCAGGGCAGGGGCCAAAGCTGCAGGAGCCGGGTCTGGGCCGTGCCTGGAGCTCTGGGCAGGGACACAGAGGGACAGGGGCACAGCCTGGCCTTGGGCCGGGCCCAGGGAGGTGCTGGGTGCTCAGGGCCCTCTGTCCCTCTGTGCCCGCAGCCCCCAGCCCACGCCTGGTGCTGCAGGAGGCCAAGGTGCGGCTCATCGACGTCCAGCTGTGCAACAGCAGCCGCTGGTACGGGGGGGCCGTGCACCCCCAGGACCTGTGCGCGGGGTACCCGCGGGGCGGCATCGACACCTGCCAGGTGGGGCTGGGCCCGGGGCTGGGCACGGGGACCCTGAGCCAGCCATGGAACCCCCAGAGCAGCACAGGGACCCTGAGCCAGCCATGGAACCCCCAGAGCAGCACAGGGACCCTGAGCCAGCCATGGAACCCCCAGAGCAGCACGGGGACCCTGAGCCAGCCATGGAACCCCCAGAGCAGCACGGGGACCCTGAGCCAGCCATGGAACCCCCAGAGCAGCACGGGGACCCTGAGCCAGCCATGGAACCCCCAGAGCAGCACAGGGACCCTGAGCCAGCCATGGAACCCCCAGGGCAGCACGGGGACCCTGAGCCCAGCAAGGCCCACCCTGTCCTTTATCCCTGGGTGGCCCTTCCCTTTCCCATCCATGCATCCCTGTTCCATGTCCCAGGGCTGCCACTCCCCATCTGTGGGTCCCTGCCCCAGTGTCCCCCTGTCCCCAAGGCCCGGTGCTTTGTCCCCCAATCCCTTCCCTGTCCCCACAACCCCGGGGTGTGGCTGTGACCCTGGCGCAGCCCCTGACCCCTCTCTCCTGTCGCAGGGGGACAGCGGGGCTCCCCTGGTCTGCAAGGACAACACTGGTGACTACTTCTGGCTGGTGGGACTGGCCAGCTGGGGCAAGGGCTGTGCCGGGGACAAGCGGCCCGGCATCTTCACCTCCACGCAGCACTTCCACACCTGGATCGAAATGCAGATGGGGTTGGTCCCGTCGGTAACGGAGGCTCCGCCGCCCGAGCCAGAGCCACCCACCCTCATCATTGAGGAAGAGCCACCAGAGCCGGAACCAGAACCAGAACCAGTATCAGAACCAGAACCGGTACCAATACCGGTACCCATACCAGAACCGGAACCGATACCAGAACCAGAAGAAGATGAAGAGGAAGAAGAACCAGAACCAACACCAAAACCGGTTAAGTTTATAACAATTTCCTTCCCCAAAGCCATCCTGCTGAGGTTGTTCACCAACCTGCAGGAGTTCCTGGAGTACCTGAGGGACAAGCTGGATTGAGCACGATGGGCAGCAGATCCAGGGCTGGCGGCAGGGGACCACAGCCATTCCCAGCTGGAGCCACGGCTGTGCCAAAGCCACTCCTGGTGCTCAGATCTACTCTGTCCTGCTCATTATCCCCCTTACCCCACCCCGGTGATGAACTTCAGTTTGTTCTGGAAATAGAGTTGTTCCCAGTTATCCTAATTTTCAGTCCAGCTTAGTCTTCTGTGCACAACAAGGATGGGACAATCTGGGGGAAAAAGGGTGGTTTTGGCTCATGGTTTGGGGGGGAGGGAGGGGAGGGTGAGCCTGGCTCTCCAGCACCTCCAGCACCTTCTGAGGAGCTCTTAGGATGGCTGGGACAGGGTCACAACTCCCACCCTGAGGGGTCATCCCTGCTCAGGGGCCAGCAGGAACTCAAGGGTCCAGCAGAACAACCTCCAGGGATCCCAAAAATACCCTGTAACTCACGGGGCTCCATCGCCCCGTTGTGGAGCTCCTCGCCCTGGGGGGGTGCTGGACATTCCTGCCTGGGCTTTAGGGGATGTCACCCCAAGGCCTGGGGAATGGGGACTTTAGGGGATGTCACCCCAAGGTTTGGGGATTTGGGACTTTAGTCTGGAGGCTCCAGCAGAGCCGGGAACGTGGGTCAGGCAGGGGCTGGGAGAGAGGATCCAACCCTGGCACCGCCCTGACCCCTCTCTCCTGTCGCAGGGGGACATCGGGGGTCCCCTGGTCTGCAAGGACAACGTTGGTGACTACTTCTGGCTGGTGGGACTGGCCAGCTGGGGCAGGGGCTGTACCAGGGCCAGGAGGCCCGGCATCTTCACCTCCACCCAGCACTTCCACTCCTGGATCAGTGCCCATGCCGGCCCCAGCCCCACAGGGCCAGCACCAGCTCCAAAGGCCACCCTGAACTCGCCGGAACCACCAATACTGCAGCCACCAAAACCGCAGCCACCAGAACCGCAGCCGCCACCAGAACCGGAGCCAGAACCAGAGCCAGAACCGGAGCCAGAACCGGAGCCAGAACCGGAGCCAGAACCAGAGCCAGAACCGGAGCCAGAACCGGTCATGGACATTTCCCTCCCAAAACACACCCTGACACGATTCCTCAGGAAGCTGCAGGAGGTGCTGGAGCTCCTGAAGGACAGGACAGGGTGAGAGGAGGGGCGGCAGATCCCGTTCTGGCTGCAGAGGATTCCAGCAGCCCCAGCCGGGGCCGTGGCTGCGGGGCCAGCTCAGCCCCGGGCTGCTGTGCCCTGCCCACGCTCCTGCCCTGAGCCCACCCCACGGATGCTCCAATTGATTTAATCCTTGGATTAAAGTTGTGTTGTCCCTGGTGCGGGTTTAGGGATGGAATTCTCCGGTGTGGTGATGCTAAAAGCAAACCCATGCTCCTTCCCCTTCCACAAAAGGCAAAGATCAGGGGTTAAAAACGATTTACTGCAAACAGCCATGAGATAAGGAATCAAAAAATTATTTGCAGCAATATTAATTAGAAAAGGTGTAAGACAAAGCAGTGATTTACACGGAAATCCTGTGACGACACCTGACCACGTTTTATCCTGGAAGTGATGCCCTTGTCCATGGAAGTGAGAGGGGACACACTGCCAGTGCCACTGCCCTGGGGTCCCGGACATGCCCCACTCCCAGCTACTGCAAAAAATCATTCCCCTGGCCAAAATCACACACCCATTATCCACATTTTCAGCCCAGTTCAGCCTCCTGGGAAAAACAGGGATAGGATAATTGGGGGGAAAAGGGTGGGGGTGCGCCTGGTGTGGGGGAGATGAGGGGGAGCCGGGGAGGGGAGGATGGGCCTGAGGTGGGGAGAGGGAGAAACTTCTCCAGCCCAGGCTCCCCAGCAGAGCCTCGGCTGTGCCAGTCCCGGGAAAAGCCCTTGAGAGGGACAGCAACGGGGACAGCTGGAGCTGCCATGCCGGGCTCCTGTGGGGCTGCTGGAAGTGCCACCCTGAGCTGCTGCTGTGCCACCCCGGGTGTCCCCTCTGTCACCAGCTCGTGCCTCTGAGGCTGTGGGACCCATCCCAGCTCCTGCTGTGCCCTCGGTCCCAGCTGGGATCCCTGGATCTGGGACATCCCCTCTGCTCCAGTGGGATGGCGGCTCCCAGGAGCTGTCCTGGCTCTGGGGGAGGTGCTGGAGTGTCTGGAGAATGATCCTGGAACGGGTCAGGATCCTGGAAGGATCATGGAACGGGTCAGGATCATGGAATGGGTCAGGATCCTGGAATGGTTCAGGAGCCTGGAATGGTTCAGGACCCTGGAACGGGTCAGGATCCTGGAATGGGTCAGGATCCTGGAATGGGTCAGGATCCTGGAATGGTTCAGGACCCTGGAATGGGTCAGGATCATGGAATGGGTCAGGATCCTGGAATGGGTCAGGATCATGGAACGGGTCAGGATCATGGAATGGGTCAGGATCCTGGACCGGGTCAGGATCATGGAACGGGTCAGGATCCTGTCCAAGTCCTCCCCTGGAACATCCCACACGGAGCACGGGGCCCTGCTCGTTTGGGGTCACCCTGCCCCCGTTCCTCCCCATCTCCCCACGAGTCCAAGGGGTCCCCGAGCCGCGGGGCAGCCCCGAGGCCGAGCTGGGTTACGGGGGCCGGGGCAGCTTCGGGGCGTCACTGCGGGGAGCAGCGGCAGCAGGAAGGCTTGGGGCTGCAGCCGGGGGAGCAGCAGGGCTGCAGCGAGGGGTCCCGGCCCTTCCTCATCTGGCTGTCGCCGAAGTGCAGGCGCTGCTCCAGCAGCACCTTCTGCACGGCGATGTCCTTGAGCGCCTGCAGCGCCTCGGGGCCCGGCTGGCCCCGCAGCAGGTCGTAGTTCTCCGCGGGATCCGCCTCCAGGTCGAAGAGCAGCGGGGGCAGGTGCGGCGTCAGCGGGGTCAGCCCGTGGCACGCCTGGTCCGGGGTCGTGTCGCTGTGGAAGGAACCTGGGGGACCCCGGCCGAGCTCGCACCGGCTCCCGGAGCGCATCCCAAATTCCCAAAAACCGCCCCGCAGGCGAGCGCTGACCTTGGGTGAAGTAGTGCGCCTTGTACTTGCCCAGGCGGACGGCGAAGGGGCCGCGCAGGGGGTCGGGGGCGGGCGGGAAGAAGAACACGGCCCGGCGGGGGCTCTGCGGCATCGGGTCAGCGCGGCGCCGGCACCGGGCCGGGACCGGGCCGGGACAGAGCCGGCACCGGGCCGGAACCGAACCGGGACAGCGCCGGCACCGAACCGGGACAGCGCCGGCACCGGGCCGGAACCGGGCCGGGACAGCGCCGGCACCGAACCGGGACAGAGCCGGTGTAATATAATATAAATTACATTTATTCAATCATTACTTATCATTGATTTTAAATAAACCAACAACCAGCTTTCCCGCATGCCAAATCTGAGTTACCACCACCGCTACCATTAATTAGAGCTGGAACAAACGAGCGCACGCCGTTCTAACGCCCCCCAGCACTGACCTTGCCGGTGCCCAGCAGCAGCGGGCTCAGGTCGAAGCCGTCCAGGGCCACCCGGGGCAGGGCGGCGCCGGCCAGCGCGGCCAGCGTGGGCAGGATGTCCAGCGTGCTGGCCAGCTCGTGCGTCACCCCTGCGCGGCACGGCGGCACCCTGCTGGCACGCTTTGGCCCGGGTTTGGTCCCGGTTTGTCCCAGGTTTGTCCCAGGTTTGTCACGGGTTTGTTCCCGGTCTGTCCCGGGTTTGTCCTGGTTACTTCCCAGTTTGTCCCGCTTTGTCCTGGGTTTGTCCAGGTTTGTTCCCGGTTTGTCCTAGGTTTGTCTTGGGTTTGTCCCCAGTTTGTCCCGGGTTTGGTCCCAGTTAGTCCCAGTTTGTCCTGCTTTGTCCCGGGTCTGTCCCAGTCTGTCCCGGTCTGTCCCGCTTTGTCCCGGTCTGTCCTGGTTTGTCGCAGGTTTGTTCCTGGGTTTGTCCCGCTTTATCCCAGTTTGTCCCGCTCTGTCCCACTCTGTCCCCTTTTGTCCCGGTCTGTCCCGCTGTGTCCCACTCTGTCCCGGGTCCATCCTGGTCTGTCCCGCTCTGTCCCCCTTTGTCCTGGGCCTGTCCTGCTCTGTCCCTCTTTGTCCCGGTTTGTCCCACCTCTGGGGAACTTTGGGGGTGCCACATTCCTGACCCAACCCCTGGGTGACATCTGGGGGGTCCCACACCTGACCCAAAGCCTGGGGGACATTTGGGGGTGTCATACACCTGGCACAACCCCTGGGGACATCTGGGGGTGTCACATTCCTGACCCAACCCCTGGGGGACATTTGGGGGTGTCACACACGTGACCCAAACATTTGGGGGACATCTGGGGGTGTCACACATCTGACCCAACCCCTGGGTGACATTTGGGGGAGTGTCATTCCTAACCCAACCCTGGGAAGACATTTCGGGGTGCCACACTGCTAATCCAAACATTTGGGGGATATTTGAGGGTGTCACACACCTGGCACAACCCTTGGGTGACATTTGGGTGTGCCACACACCTGCCCCAACCCCTGGGGGACATTTGGGGGTGTCACACACCTGGCACAACCCCTGGGGACATCTGGGGGTGTCACATTGGTGACCCAAGCCCTGGGTGACATTTGGGGGTGCCACACTGCTAACCCAACCCCTGGGTGACATTTGGAGGTGTCACACACCTGACCCAAAGCCTGGGTGACATTTGGGGGTGCCACACTGCTAACCTAACCCCTGGGTGACATTTGGAGGTGTCACACACCTGGCTCAACCCCTGGGTGACATTTGGGTGTGCCACACACCTAGCTCAAAGCCTGGGTGACATTTGGGGGTGCCACACTGCTAACCCAACCCCTGGGTGACATTTGGGGGTGTCACACACCTGCCCCAACCCCTGGGTGACATTTGGGGATGCCACACTGCTAACCCAACCCCTGGGTGACATTTGGAGGTGTCACACACCTGGCCCAACCCCTGGGATGTTTCTGTCACAGAACACCGAGCTCACAGCCCGTGTCCCCTCCAGAGCAGGACCCGGGGTGACACCTGGCGCTGCCACACGCGTGCTGTGCCAGCCGTGCCAGCTGTGCCAGCTGTGCCAGCTGTGCCAGCTGTGCCAGCCGCTCACCCGTTGTCCGAGGTGACGAACACCAGGGTGGAGTTGTCCAGGCCGTTGTCGCGCAGCGCCTGCAGCAGCTGTCCCACCGAGTCGTCGAACTCGGCCAGCGCGTCCCCGAAGGGTCCCCGGCGCGTCCTGCCCGCGAACTGCCGGCTGGCGAACTGCGGGTAGTGCGTGTGCTGCCAGGGGAGAGGGCACCGGATCGACCCCCGCCGGCGGCCCCCCGGAGGTGACAGAAGCCACCAGCCGGAGGAGGTTTGTCCCCGGAGGTGACAGAAGCCACCAGCCGGAGGAGGTTTGTCCCCGCGTCTCAGCGCTGGCACAACGGGAGCTCCGGGGTGAGTTTTCCTCGGGGATGGTGCAGGGAAGAGGGGAAAGCTGCAGGAAGCAGCAGCCTGGAAGCAGCACCCCAACAGGATCGGGAGTAGCAAGCCCAGGTCACCCAGGAGCAGATTTTGGGGTGGCACGAGGGGAGATGCTGCCCTGTTCTCCCCATGGGACTCGGGCTCCCTTCCCTTCCCTTCCCTTCCCTTCCCTTCCCTTCCCTTTCTTTTCTTTTTCCTTTTCCTGTTTCCCTCTTCCCTTCCCCATTCTCCGTTTCCCTTCCCCCTTTTCCCTTCCCTCTTTTTTCTTTTCCCTTTTCCCCCTTCCCTTTTTCCCTTCCCTTTTCCCTTCCCTTCCCTTCCCTTCCCTTCCCTTCCCTTCCCTTCCCTTCCCTTCCCTTTTCCTTTCCCTTTTCCCCTTCCCCCCCCTCTTTTTCCTTCCCTTTTTCCCTTCCCTTCACTTTTGCTTTTCCCTTTTCCTTTCCCCTTCCCCCTTCCCCCTTTTCCATTTCCCCTACCACTTTTCCCATTTCCCTTTTCCCTTTCCCTTCCCCTTCCCCCTTTTCCCTTCCCCCTTTTCCCTTCCCCCTTTTCCATTTCCCCTACCACTTTTCCCATTTCCCTTCCCCCTTTTCCCTTTCACCACTTTTCCCTTTTCCATTTCCCCTACCACTTTTCCCATTTCCCTTTTCCCTTTCCCTTTTCCCTTCCCCCTTTTCCATTTCCCCTACCACTTTTCCCATTTCCCTTCCCCCTTTTCCATTTCCCCTACCACTTTTCCCTTTTCCCTTTCCCTTCCCCTTCCCCCTTTTCCATTTCCCCTACCACTTTTCCCATTTCCCTTTTCCCCCTTTTCCCCCCGGCTCCCCCGTGCCCATCCCGTTTCCCGGCCTGTGCCATCGCACGTGGGACGCGTAGTAGAGCAGGAAGGGCAGGCGCAGGCGGGCGCAGCGGGCGATGAACTCGCGGCAGAAGCGGCCGTAGAGCGGCACCAGCTCGGGGAAGGACACGGGCTGCTGCACGATGCTCTGGTTCCAGAGCAGCGGCACGGCCACCACGCCCTGGTCACACGTCCCAAAGCACTTGGTGTCGGGGGGGAAGCACGTCAGGTTCTGGCAGGGACCCTGCAAAACACGGCGGGCTCGGCTCGGCTGGGATTCCAACTCTGGATTTGTTCGTTAATTTAATATTTTGTCATTTTCAGATTTAAATTTCCAGGGTATCTACAAATTCATTTCCCACACTGAGCTTCATATTAGGGGGTGGTGAGCCATCTGCACAGAGCAGGGAGACAAAACAATTCCTGCTCCAGCTGGGCACCAAGGACAAATGATCCAAATCTCAGCCCAGGAGCACAAAGCCCGTGGGCTGCAGAGAGAAAAACAAGCAGGATGGGAGTGCAGGGGCTGAGCTGGAATTGGACACTGAACTGCAATGTGCACATGGAGCAGAGCTGATCCCAGGGAGAGACCCCGGGAGCGCTCGTGCATTTTGGGACCATTTGGGTTCATCTTGGGGGCAGCCCTGGCTGGGCTCTTGTGCTGCCCGAGGTGCATCCATGGAGGAGATCCTTTCAATCCATCCCTGCTTTATTTATTAAACATGAAATATGATTTAATATTAATTATTAAATTTACTGATTCAGTATTATATATATTCTATATATAAGTGTATATAAGTATACTTGTATATAACTGTACATATATAAAAATATATATTAATAATATAATGTATAATGTACTTGAATATGTAAGTCTATTATATATTATATTATTACATTTACTTTTTATATTTTATAAGTAAATTTAAATATTAAATTTATTTATTTAATACATTTTATTTATAATATATTTTAATAATATTTCATATAATAATATATGCATTATATATAATATATAATACATTTTATGTATTATATTTATATAATATATAAAATATAATATATAATATAATGTATAATATGTAATATAGTATATATAATATATATAATATATTATATAATATATATAATATATAATGTATAATATATATGTGTTATATATTATATATGTATGTA